ATAATAATTAATTTTAATAATTTTAATAATCAAATGAGAAGCATGCAGCATCAAATGCAATGGGACGTGAATTCAGGCTCCTGACCAACACCAGTACTAATCCAGTGGGCAAAATACCTGCCAGGTGATCCAGTTTTAACTCTGATGCCCCTGTCTGGCTCAGAAACGTCCCCAGGTGTATTCACAGTGCTCACCACGAACAGCCTCACCTCGTCTCCCGCAATTATCGGTAAGTGAGCAGAGCTCTACCACCACTGCCTGCACACCAGTATTACCTGGCCAGGAGTAGCCACGGAAGAACACTTTGGCTCTGGACAGTTGAGACAGCGGACCTGCCCATCCCTGATCTGAATTTCAAAGTAGTCCTTCAGGCACGCTTTGCAGTACACGTGGCTGCACTCGCTGAAGTACATACACTCGCTGCCCAGCTTCTCGCAGAAGCAGATATTGCACAAGTACATCTTACTGTTAAAGGACTTCCTCCTCTGAGCCTGATCAAAGTCCAAGATTTCCCTAATCAGACTCGACAAAGACTCCACATCCTGCACAGCTCTCGCGTCGATGATTTCTTCTTCTTCAGCCGCTGCAGAGCTTGCTGCACCATCACAATCCTTCTCGGTGTCGAGAGGCACCACAGGTGTCCTGCTCTGCCCAGTCCCTTGATGGCACATTTTTAGCTCATATGGGGAGGAAATGTTCAGGTAACTCAGTGTCTCTTCCTTCAGAAACTGCATCCAGGCAAATAAGACCACACAGCCTCGGTTTTCTTCCCATACGTTGTCTAAGTGTTTGCAAAGAGCACTGAGCTAGGAAAGAAAAACCAAAATTCCAGATTTCAGTCAGTTCTGACAACTCATTACAGCTTTCCTCTCCTCCACAGTCCTTAGTGCACACTTACACTTCAGATTCTGGAGTTTTACTAAATACATAAAATACATATAAAAATAATACTCATGGACGCAAGCTTTCATTCCTCAGAATGGTGACCAAATAAAAACAAGAAGGAAACGGAAAAGCCACCTGAAAGAGCAATGGAATCATTTATGTCTTAATTTTACTTTCACTGCCATCCCCCAAAGCACTGTTAATGAGGAACCTACTCGCGAGCACAAAAGCTCCGTTAAAATGTTAAAGCTGTTTTGCAAACCTGGGCTTGGGAGAGCCATTTTCCACTGAGGGTAAACACGGGTGGGGAGGTGGATGGGTAGTCTGGCGGGAGCTCAAAATTCAGCACAAGTGGCGGCAGGAAGCAAACGGTGTATTCAAACCCGCTGTCGTTCTGGAGGCTTTCTGCGGAACTGCCTGAATCCAGGGGAATTGAGACAGTGTGAGACACAAAAAGAAAATTAAAACTAATTAATTGTAACTGTTTATGACAGATGTATCTCTTCATTTGATAAATTTCTGAGTTTAAAATTAGTTATTCAACCCTAAATACCAAAACGTCTCAGTGCAGTAAGGTTTCATGGGGTTGCATGCACATGGTTAAATCAGGAAACACCAGTACGGTGAAATACCAGATCCTGCACAAACACAGGACCATATCCTCAAGGAAAAAAAAATAAATGAACTTAATTATTCCAAAGAAACACTATCACTCATCTCCAATTTTAACGTTCCCTGAAGAGGCTGTATGGATGAGGATAAATCACCTGCTCAGATATGAACCCCACCAACACCCCGAGCACAGCCCAGGGCCAGTCGCAGCTTTCCCTGGTCAGTGTTCCTGCAGCTCGCTACTGCAGCAGCCCTCTAAGCACAAACCAGAAAATCAGCTTGGGAATACCTAAGTTTGGGATAACACAAAACATCTCAACTCACCACTCACAAAAATTTTGAAGTTTTGGGGCAACTCCAGACAAATTCTTGTTTCTCCTCCTTGGGCTGACTCGGCTCTCTTAAACTCATCTTCGTCATAGATGCTGGCCAGAGCCAGCAGCTCATCCTCCTGAGCCTCTTTGTCTTCTGAAGACATTTAAATTTTCTGTGGAGTTAACACCACTCTACAAGATCAACTGAGTTAACGCATCCTACTCACATTATTAATTTGGGGGATCTACTTTATAGAGCTGAGGATTTAGAAACCCAAGTAACTGATTTAAAACAATGTAAAATATAATTAAGCTTTTTTACAGGTTGAAAAAATATTGATAGCTTTATAAAATAAATTAAAAAAAAAAACAACTTAAAGGGACATTGAGAAGTCAAGAAGCAAACTGTCCCCAAGTGTTAGTGGCTGAAGGCAGCAGTAAGGGGGAAAAAGCAGAGAAATACAGTGGTGGGAAAAGTGACACAGGGACATTTCATTAATGTTTGAAAGGGAAAAGAGACTGAAAAATGAGAAAAAGGCGTCAGAAAGTATCTGTCATCCCCTGTTCTAAACCAAACAGCCACACTGATGATTAGAGTTACTGAAGCTATCAACAGAAGCTTCGCATCCTCCACAGGTGCATCCTACACTTCAGCTGCAGCTGAGGGGAACGCAAGCCCGGTGCGGCGGTTACCTGCTCACCCCCAGCCGCGCAGGGTCCCTCGGAGCTCAGCCACGTTCCTTCCCAGGCTCCGCTGCAGAGCCCCTGAGCATTCCCCCGGGAGAGCTGCGGGTCGGAAGCTTTTCCTCACATAAGGCGTGACAAATGTCACCGAAGCGCTCTGGCCAGGGTACCCTGAGCTGCCTGCGGGCAAACACACACAGGCGCTCAGAGAGGACACAGTCCCCTCGGCCACCGAGCCCGTCCCTGGGGCAGGCTCATGGGCTCCAGCAGCAGCACCTCGTGTCTGGGTGTCCCCAGCACTGTCCCCAGGACAGACTCCAGAGCCTGTCCCCGGGGTCAGCAGAACCCCCACCCCGCTGCCCCCCACAACATCCAGGAAAATGATTTACTGCTAAACAGCAACGAGAAGGCGGCGATTCCAAAGGAGCAG